GGCTTCTGAATTACAGTGTTGGGCGCTGCGATGTTTGTGTGGGAGAAGAGAAGGGAGGTTTTGTCCTGGCTTGCTTCAGGCTGTTAGGTGATGTAATAACGAGTCAACAGTGCGATGACTTGGAGGAAAATAGGAGGCTTGGAAATAGGATATTCCAGGTGGATACTGCCCTACAGGAAAATTTTAAAGTCTTGAAAGGTCTGTAGTCTATAGATGAACGTCAGACTGGTTCCCCTCAATGATACTGCAGATGTGGGGTTTAAAAAATATTTTGCTCTGTTCACCTTTGTTGAAAAGGCTCACAGAATGAGGACAACTGGACCAGTTATTTAAAACTGAGAACTACAAGGTGTTCCAGAAAACAACTGTAAAACAGCCTCTTTGAACTTGGATCTTCCTTATCAGAGTTTATGTTCTGTCCCACAGCAACGGCACCGTGCTCAGAACCCGCATTAAGTGATTCACAAGTTAAACCTCCTTGCAAAAGAAATTACCCTTCCACAGTGGGGAACTACAGATACTGTACAGATGGCAGGGGCCTGCTTTTAGGAAGACAAACAATCAAAAAAACCCCAAGTTTGCATGGATTTTTTTTCCAATTTATGCAGTGCAGAAGGTATAGGATTTATTATTTTTTAAACCAGAGCAACCCAAAGATTTATCTCTTGAGTAACGTCCCACAGGAGCTTTAAGTCTGGGTTGCTGGCCAGGGCTACGCTTTGCTTGAAGATGGGCACCGCTGCAGGCTTGTTGGAAGCGTAATGCTGTTCCTTGTAGGTGTTTTGGGTCTGGTTCCGTATTTTCCTGGAGGGAAGGAAGAAATAAATAAAAACCACAACAACAGAAACCCCCAAGTACTCTGCATTTGCACCTCTTGGACAGCTCGGGCTGTTTTGCTCTGCCCCTTCTGTTATTTAACTGTGTATGTTTGTTGTACATTCAGTGACTGTTATTGTGTTCATAGTCTTGTGCAACCCCGCAGGTGTAAAAAAACCAAAACAAACAACCCCAAAATTAATAAATCTTTTTCTTTTTTGTAAAAAAAAGAAAAAGATTTATTAATTTTGGGGTTGTTTGTTTTGGTTTTTTTACACCTGCGGGGTTGCACAAGACTATGAACACAATAACAGTCACTGAATGTACAACAAACATACACAGTTAAATAACAGAAGGGGCAGAGCAAAACAGCCCGAGCTGTCCAAGAGGTGCAAATGCAGAGTACTTGGGGGTTTCTGTTGTTGTGGTTTTTATTTATTTCTTCCTTCCCTCCAGGAAAATACGGAACCAGACCCAAAACACCTACAAGGAACAGCATTACGCTTCCAACGAGCCTGCAGCGGTGCCCATCTTCAAGCAAAGCGTAGCCCTGGCCAGCAACCCAGACTTAAAGCTCCTGTGGGACGTTACTCAAGAGATAAATCTTTGGGTTGCTCTGGTTTAAAAAATAATAAATCCTATACCTTCTGCACTGCATAAATTGGAAAAAAAATCCATGCAAACTTGGGGTTTTTTTGATTGTTTGTCTTCCTAAAAGCAGGCCCCTGCCATCTGTACAGTATCTGTAGTTCCCCACTGTGGAAGGGTAATTTCTTTTGCAAGGAGGTTTAACTTGTGAATCACTTAATGCGGGTTCTGAGCACGGTGCCGTTGCTGTGGGACAGAACATAAACTCTGATAAGGAAGATCCAAGTTCAAAGAGGCTGTTTTACAGTTGTTTTCTGGAACACCTTGTAGTTCTCAGTTTTAAATAACTGGTCCAGTTGTCCTCATTCTGTGAGCCTTTTCAACAAAGGTGAACAGAGCAAAATATTTTTTAAACCCCACATCTGCAGTATCATTGAGGGGAACCAGTCTGACGTTCATCTATAGACTACAGACCTCTCAAGACTTTAAAATTTTCCTGTAGGGCAGTATCCACCTGGAATATCCTATTTCCAAGCCTCCTATTTTCCTCCAAGTCATCGCACTGTTGACTCGTTATTACATCACCTAACAGCCTGAAGCAAGCCAGGACAAAACCTCCCTTCTCTTCTCCCACACAAACATCGCAGCGCCCAACACTGTAATTCAGAAGCCCTCAGCAACACGACTCCAACTGTATTAGTGGGAACTGCAGTCGCTTGGTCACACTGTTAAAAGTCGATGGGCTCCTAAATCCAGTGAAATTAAAGACACTCATCACTGCACTTGACTAATTGGGAGCTCTGGTCCTCATTAACTTCACCAATCTCATTAATGCCCCTAGTAGGGTGGTACAGCAAGTGAAACAAAATCCCAGGAACAAATTAATCCACATTTTAGCCAGTCCCTTCAAAGCTACCTCAAAAAACAGTTTTGAGCTTGCCAGTATTTTTGATCCGATTTATCTCATCATGCGTGGCCGCTGTTTCCATGCTACATTAACAGATCTATTAATTACCAAAGCAACACCTGCTACAAGGCTTTGCGCACAAGGAACCAGACTTCCTCTTGTCTGAGTCTGAAGTTCTCTCTCATCTAGGAACTTTAACTCCATAAGGCCTGATCCCAAAACCTGTGATCACCTGTACCGCTTACTCACACGGGTCACCCTCGCCTAAATCTGTGGGAGTTCTTATGCAAGAGTCCTGCATTCACAGTCAGTGCAGCACAAGAGAAAACAAATAAAAAAAAAAAGTCCTTCAGTCTCAAGGGCTGTTAAGACAAAACATCCTTCTTTGCTACTGTTTTATAAATAAATGTATCTTATTATGCACAGACATTCTGGGATGAGTTTTCAAGCAGTGAAGGGAAGTTTAGACATACACAGTATATCCCATTGGGACTCAGTGGAGTTGTAGTCATGTTCTTGCAAATACCAGAATGCACTAAATAACCAACCAAACAAACCTGGGCAGGAGAATTATGTAAGAAAAAAAAAATACACTGCCTTAAAAAGATAAACCTTCTCTTTCCCTTTCTCCTGGTCCCTAAATGTAATGAGAATTCTGTACATAGACCAGGTCTACCAAAGCAGGCAACTCACAGATGGCTTTCTGTGTCCCATAAACAGTGGTCCACTAGCATGTTTCCTGTATTTTTCCTGAGTCCAGGGCTAGTCATTTTACAGAATTGTCCAAAGGAATTACAGTGCACTGTTAAGAAGGTATTTGGAAAATCAAAGTAATCAGCTCTTCATCCAGTCTTCAAGGGGAAAAATAGGTCCTCTTCAAGGTGGCAACAGAGATAGCTACCCTGCCTCTTCAGAGGTGTGCTCCTCTACCCTCTTTTTTTTTTTCCTGGCACGACTATCTTCAAGTCACAGCAGCAGCTGCTATGCAGGATAAGCTGAGCCTTTTTTGTTTACAGGCAAAAGGCAATTTTCCCTGCAAATACCAAAAGGGAAGAGAGATAATAGTGGCTCTGTACTACCCTTATGGGCTACTCTGATTTCAATCAGTTTGTTCCACATGATACAGGTTTAAGTTCTTTCTGGAACTGCTTGGTCAAATAGGGCAGGACAGACAGCATGTAAACAGTTTTGAGGGCTGGAAAAATAATAATTTAACGGACTGCTTCGGCACATCTTCACAGCTTCATTGTTATATCCATCCCTGCACACGTACGCAAGGAGCCACTGCTTTGCTGCTGCTGCTCTTTTTCTCCAGGCAGTCTGCTCGCATTGAGCTGGGACGTTCCCTTTCACCTTGGCTGCTGAAACAGAGGAAGCAGTTCTGCCATAGTCTGGCAGTTCACATGATGTCCTCCTCTAACGGCTCCTGTTAAAAGATATATACATACAACAATCTGCCAGTTAGCCTTCAGTTAGGCAAGCTTTTTCCCATACAATTGAAATAAAAAGTTGTTTACTGGAGAAACTTCCAAAGAAGAAAAATAAGGGTCAGCAGACATGCCAAAAATCAAGTCCAGAGCAAGCAGAGGTTTCACTTCTCTTGTCCTTTTTGTTAAAAGCTGCATAAAATAGCATCCCAGAAGGATTTTGAGGGTACTTCATGATCACCGGGGACTTAAACCCTCTTAAAGCATTAACAAGAGCTCCAAGATTTTAGTTGAAGTTAAGTGAGCATATACTTTAAAACATACTGAGCCCCAGGATAGCCATAGATTGGGCTTTCGGGGGTGGTGACAAGCACAAGCAAGTGACACCCTGAGGCTTCTTCATTCATGTTCTGCTGAGAAAGTTCTTGGCTTAGTGATGTGCACTTCACTGCCGCCATTCCCATTGGTGGTTGTAGTGATTATGTACTGGGTGGTTTGCTGCTGACTGCTCGTTTGTGACTCCAGGGCATCCGTGTGGGCTGGCGGCTGGGAAACGCCAACCTGTACCTCGCTGGAGAGCGAAGAGTTCTGTTTGCCATCCAGATCAGGCTGGCCTTCAGATATCACATAGTGAGTCTGCATGGGAAATATAAAAAATAAGTAATAAACATTGCATCTTCTGTAACTTTTCTGTTCTAATAGCCTGTAATTTTCCTGTTGCTGTGCTGGAAGATATTCTGGTATGAACAAGGAACTTTGAAATTAAGTTGTATTTCATTTAAACGTGTTTGAGAGCAACATAACCCTTGTACTTTATTTTGAGGCACGTTGGACTACTTTGGATTTGGTTAACTTATGAACAATCAAGCTAATTACACAA